CCTGCCCCAAAGGTGCCTCTGTCGTCTGCTCACCGGCTGCCAGTCCTTTATTTGATTCATGGCCCCCTGAAACCGGCCCCCTCATAAACTGGTTCAGGGGGTTTTGAAATCACTTAAGGGCAAATCGTTGACAAACGCTGGGACTTCAGGGGTTTGCGCTTTAAACCAGACACCAAAGGGCAGCACAGCCCTTTATTACTCGCTAAAACAGGGCTAAACAAAAACCAGTCTCAAACCAAAAAATTGGCCCCAGACCTCCCCGGGGCCCTCGAAATAATTGCCGGAGGATAGAGTTCGTTTTTGGGAAATTTAAACCCTGTGGGGGATTTTAAAAAAACCTGGGCCTGTGTATGGCCTTCAATTGAAGCTGCTTCTTTTTTGCTCCCCCCACCCCTCCCTTTTGGACTCTTGATAGTCCCCTAATGCGAGGACCCCCTGCCTCCATCTCCACACATACTGCCACGGTGCGTCTGGGTCCTCTGTCTCCCCTCCTCCTTTAACCGGGTTTGCCCCTGCTCCTCCACTCCTGTCCGCTGAGTGGAAAAACCACCCATTTAAATCAAAAATTCCTAGAAACCAAGTCCCCCTCTACCTCCCCCTCTTTTTTCCTGCCTCCCCCCCACAGGGGCCCATTGGCTTAAAAATCTGTGCGCCACGTCTAACCGAAACCCTAAACCACCATTTTTTAACGAAATTTTTTCCGGGACTGCAACAGGGAAACGTCTTTTTTTTCCCCAACCCTTTGGCCGACTCCCGAATACGTGGCCTCCTAAAAGGGGCCTGAGCAACGGCGGGTTGTCACCAAGTTTCCAATTTGGCGACTTCTAATTTACACAGGAGAAACCTTATCTCTTGTAACATCGGGAAACTGGGTTTTGGCCTTTCGCTTTTCGAAAAGGCGGTCTAACAAAGTGGGGTTAAATTCCCCCCCTTGTTGCAAAAACGACGCAGATCAGGCATGCTGTGGAATTCCGTTCGGGGCCCGCTGCACCCAAAAAGGGAGGGTGGCTTTGGGGGTGTAGGAATGGCTAAATGCATGCAAAGTTTAGGGTGTTTTTTAAAGGGAAATTTTTTGCATGGATGGGGGTTTTTTAGGAACCGCTTGAAAACCCCAGTTTAAAACACTGGCCAGCAGGGCGCATGGCAAAACCCTTTCCTTGACGCGGGAGAAAACCCCCAAGTTCTTTCCGTTGTGGTCACAGGGTTCCCGATTTTAAATTTTGCGGGGAGACAGCCATCGTCAAATTTTCCCCCCCGGGTTCATTACACTCAGAATTCCCCCCCCCCTGTGTGACTACTTCCCCAAAGGGCATCCCGGGTGCCACAGCGTAAAACCCGTTCCCCCTCCCACATTATATCCCGGGTCGGGAAATTGGGATTTTGGCAGGGGGGTGGCGGCTGGGGGACCCCCCGGCGAAGAAGAGGGAAGAGGGACGCTTTGCGGGACCAAGGCCCTTTTTGGCCAAACGGGGGAGGCAAAAGCGGCGTGACCTGCCCCAAGTTGCAGGTGCGGCAGTGCCCGGCACCCACGTTCACCCAGTGGGCCCGTAAATGACATTTACTGTCCTGACCGTATTACAGGCCACCACAACGGCGGCGCCCTGCCGTGCACTTTGGCAGAGACCGACATGCTCAAAGACTGGCCCACCATCTCTTCTACATGTGAATGCAGGGCTGGCACTGCCTTTTTGGCGAAGAAATGCCCGGCTTAGCACTCTCCACCGCGGCTCGGCACAAGCATCATTTCTCGAAAGGTGCTGAGGTCCCACCACTTGGAAAGGGAGGGACAGCAGCATCAGCAACTTGGACAGGAAGACGTTTCAGTTTTTACTTCTGCACCGTCGGGTGCGTGCTCGCAAACTGTTGTCTCTTGGAAACGGATTCCAAGAAAGACTGCTGACGGAATCCGTGAAGAGGAGTAGCAGGAGAAGGAGCATCTGAACGAGCGGAAGATGCCAACGAGCGACGAACTCCCCTCAGCAGAGGTGTTGGAGCCTTGACTGGCTGAATAGAGGGTGATTGACGTCGGGTGAACGGAGCAAGTAACGGAGCGGGTGATGGAGCGGGGCTGGGGCATGGCAGAACCGCCGTATCTTTATCACGGTTTCCCAGGCCACCGTATGGCGACGCTGCATATGCTGACGCAACGCTGTAGTCCCAACATGGGCCCCCTGGCCACTCTTGACTTTCTGGCCACATAGTCCACATACGGCTACGTTTTACTCCTCGGGCGGCTTGACGAAAAATTGCCACAACCCGCCGAGTAGGAAACTTTGCCCCCGCTACTCCTCACTGGCTGACTGCGCTACTTCCTCCGGTGCACACCGGCACCACTACTGGCCGTGGTGGTAGGCTGCAGTGGCAGCTGGTGCTCTACTCCGTGGCCGCTTGGCTCCACTGACACTGCTGCGACCCTGCTGCCTCCTGGGCAACCCACCGACTGTTTGCTCGCTGGCAAGCTGGCAGCCCCGCCCCCCCCCCCCCCCCTCTTCTCCTGACGATGCGGAAGCAATAGCCTGATGACGACGAGGCATGCCAAGTGCGATCAGCCCTCAGTCATCACAAATAGGGTCTCCGCGTCACTACTAGCCCCCTCGGCTGCGTGTGGGTCAGGAGACAGACCTGTCTCTAGACCGGCTACCGAGCCACTCTCCTCGCCAGTACTTCTTCGCCCTGCCTGGCTGAAGAGGCGGATACTATCTCCCCCCGTTTCCTGACCGCCCTCTGTTAGCTCTTCCTCACTGTACAGTGGGGCTGAAGCCCACAGCATGCGATACTTCGCTTGGTGAGTGGAACACCAAAGGACAGGGGGGCAGGTAGAGGGACACGTGATTTCAGTGGGCTTGCTCCCGGGCCATGCCAACTAACGGTTTGTGTAGACGTACCCACCGACCGTTGGCTGTAGGTGTCAGAGGTGACCTGGGAAAAGGAAGACTACCGAGTCAACCAATCGATGACGGCAGGATTGTTCGGTGGAGACACGACCGCTGGATGACACCAGGAACACTGGCCTCTGGCTGCGACTAGTGCTGCCTCGACCCCTTCCTCTGCTGCCACGTCTGCTTCGCTCCTGAAACATTTGCCTCCTCTGCCACTCCTCTGCATGTTGTCTGACATACTTTTTAATTCAATAAAAGCACCCCAAACATAAAACAGGATTTAACTCTTTGAATAAAACGTACAATAGTGGTTGTGAAGCAGAAAGTAACGATTCTGTGTCCCTGAGTAACAGATTCTGTGTCCCTCAGTAACAAGTCTGTGTCCCAGAGTAACAATTTCTGTGTCCCTGAGTAACAATTCTGTGTCCCTCAGTAACGATTCTGTGTCCCTCAGTAACGATCTGTGTCCCTCAGTAACGATTCTGTGTCCCTGAGTAACGATTCTGTGGCCCTAAAGTCTCTGTGGCCCTAAACTCTGTCCCTAATACAGACAGGTCCTGTCTCTCTTGAATGACCGGAGGCTAATGGAGAATTCTAAGATGGCCGCGATTTATAGCTCCACCATTACACAGTGCCTGGCTGGCTGGCTGCTGATTGGCTAATGCGATCACATGTCATGAATGAATGCATTATGGGGTCAGCGCGCCTTGTCTGCGCGCGCCTTCCCAGAGATCCCCGCTCCGTCGCCACACATGTCCGCCGCCATTTTTGGGAAAATTCGATTCGTGCATCCGAAGTTTGCTAATTTTTCGGATTCGGCGCGAATCGAATTTTTCCTAATCTTCGAAACGAATTCCACGTCGTCATGTTCGATTCGCTCATCTCTAGTGATCATATCCCCCTTATTATTATACATGGAGATCATATCCCCCCTTATGTATTATATGGAGGATCATATCCCCCCTTATGTATTATAACATGGTGATCATATCCCCCCGTATGTATTATACATGGTGATCATATCCCCCCCCCCTTATGTATTATACATGGAGATCATATCCCCCCTTATGTATTATACATGGTGATCATATCCCCCCTTATGTATATACATGGAGATCATATCCCCCCTTATGTATTATACATGGAGATCATATCCCCCCTTATGTATTATACATGGAGATCATACCCCCCCTTATGTATATATACATGGTGATCATTAGAGATGAGCGAATTATTCAAAAATTCGATTCGGCTGATTCGCCGAATTTGCGGAATAAATTTGATTCGAGGCGAATATATTTCGCTGCGAATTTAACTTATTAAAAGGGTTTCTAGGCTTCAGAGAGCCTTTATATTAGTGCAGAACACTGTACCTTTAATTTAAATGCCCTTGGAGTCTGCTGGGGAAGAGAACTAATACTGTCAGTCAGTATGACATGCAGATGAGTGCCGTCGATCTTAGAATCACCGCACACTTCACTCATTTGGGCAGTCACGGGCCAAAACCAGAGTGTGGAGCCACAGTGTGGCGGTGAGGCAGCAGCAATGGGAGCCATAACAGCACCCTATGACAAAATGGAACCCACCAGCAGTGTGAGGCAAGACCTGAAAGTGGCACATGGCAAGAGTGTGGCGATAGAGACAGCAGCAATGGGAGGCCGTACAGGGACCCATGACACACTCTGGACCTGGCAGCAGCAAGAGGAGGCGGTACAGGGGCCCATGACAGATTAGGGCCTGGCAGCAGCAGTGGCGGGCGGTGGATGCAGCAGTATTCGGAAGCCAAACACAGGCCTCGGTTAAAAAGCGGAAGCCGTCAGCAGCGTGAGCAGACGACAGAGGCACATGGCGCAGGGTGGCGGTGGAGGCAGCAGCAATGGAAGGCCATACAGCACCCTATCACAAAATGGAACCCACCAACAGTGTAAGGAGACCTGAAAGTGGCACAATGGCAGAGTCTGGCAATGAAGTCAGCAGCAATGGGAGGCCGTACAGGGACCCATGACACACTCTGGACCTGGCAGCAGCATGAGGAGGCGGTACAGGGGCCCATGACAGATTACGGGCCTGGCAGCAGCATGAGGAGTCAAGGGTACGGGGGCCCATGGCAGATTACGGGCCTGGCAGCAGCATGAGGAGGCGGTACAGGGGCCCATGGCAGAGTGGCGAAGCGTAAGCAGCTTAAATTGGAAGGCCATAACAGAGGCCTATGTTTAAAAAGTCCCCCCAGCAGCAGCGTGGGGAGACGACTATTAACCTAGGCCTGTGTATGGCTTCAGAATAATGCTGCCTACACCGCCACCCTGCGCCATGTGCCTCTGTCGTCTGCTCACGCTGCTGCCAGGTCCATACTGATTCATGGCCCCCTGTACCGGCTCCCTCATGAACGTGGTTCAGCGGGTTTGCATCACTTAACGGCAAATCGTTGACAAACGCTGAATGGACGTTCAGTGTTGTGCGCATTAAGCCAGACACCAAAGGGCAGCACACAGACCCTGTTATTACTCTCGCTCAAGCATGGCTGAACAAAACCAGTCTCTACCACAAATTGGACCCAGACCTGCCCAGGGTCTCGTAAGTAGATTGCACGGAGGAGTAAGAGTTCGTTATTGGAATTAACTGTGAGGGACTTTTAAACCTAGGCCTGTGTATGGCCTTCAATTGAAGCTGCTTCTGCTCCGCCACTCTGCCATTGGACTCTTGATAGTCGCCTAATGCGAGGGACTCCCTGCCCCATCTCTCCACAGCATACTGCCACGGTGCGTCTGGGTCCTCTGTCTCCTCCTCCTCCTCTACCAGATGCTCCTGCTCCTCCACTCCTGTCCGCTGAGTGGAAAAACCACCCATTTCACTCAATAATCCTGAGCACCAATGTCCTCCTCTACCTCCTCCTCTTCTTCCTGTCCTGCCCCCACAGGGGTCATGTGGCGTTGAGATCTGTGCGCCACGTCTACCGCACCCTGACCAGCCATTGTTAACGGCATTTGTTCCAGGACCGTGCAACAGAGGAATGACGTCGTTCATTCATACCCATAGTCCTGCCGACTCACGAATAGCGTGGCCTCCTCAAAGGGCCTGAGCAAGCGGCAGGTGTCACGCATGAGCTGCCAATGGCTGACATCTAAGTTACACAGGGGAGTACCTTTTTATCCGCTTGTAACATCAGGAAATCGGTGATGGCCTTTCGCTGTTCGTAAAGGCGGTCTAACATATGTAGGTTGAATTCCACCTTGTTGCAACGTCGCAGATCAGGCGATGCTGTGGAATTCCGTTCTGCCGCTGCAGCTCAAGGAGGGTGTGCTTTGCGGTGTAGGAATGGCTGAAATGCATGCAAAGTTTACGTGACATTTTAAGGATGTCTTGCAGTGGGATGGTGGATTTTAGGAACCGCTTGACAACCAGATTGAACACGTGAGCCATGCATGGCGCATGGCACAACCTTCCTTGACGCAGAGCAGACACCATGTTCTTTCCGTTGTCGGTCAACATGGTTCCGATTTTCAGTTTGCGCGGAGACAGCCATCTGTCGATTTCTCTGTTCATTACACTCAGAAGTTCCTCCCCTGTGTGACTACGTTCGCCAAGGCATACCAGGTGCAGCACAGCGTGACACCGTTGCGCCCTGCACATGTGATATGCCGGTCGGGTAATGGGACTTGGCACGGGGGTGGCGGCTGAGGACACGGCGGAAGAAGAGGTGGTAGAGGCGGACATCTTTGCTGGACCAAGGACGTGCAAACGTGGAGGCAAAAGCGGCGTGACCTGTCCAAGTTGCTGAGGTGCGGCTGTGCCGGCACCACGTTCACCCAGTGGGCCGTAAATGACATGTACTGTCCCTGACCGTAGTTTACAGCTCCACACGTCGGCGCTGCCGTGCACTTTGGCAGAGACCGACATGCTCAAAGACTGGCCCACCATCTCTTCTACATGTGAATGCAGGGCTGGCACTGCCTTTTTTGGCAAAGAAAATGCCGGCTTGGCACTCTCCACCGCGGCTCGGCACAAGCCATCATTTCTCGGAAAGGTGCTGAGTCCACCACTTGGAAAGGGAGGGACTGCAGCACCAGCAACTTGGACAGGAAGGACGTTCAGCTTCTGCACCGTCGGGTGCGTGCTCCGCAAACTGTTGTCTCATGGAAACGGATTCCAAGAAAGACTGCCATACGGCCCAAGTTTACTTCCTCGGGCCGGGTTGAACGAAAAAATTGGGCCCCACCCGCCGGTAAAAAACTTTGGCCCCCCCCCTACTCCCCCACTGGCGACCTGCTACTTCCTTTCCCGGGACACCGGCACCACAAATGGCCCCTGGTGGTAGGGTGCATGGAGCCCGGTGCCCCCTACTCCGTGGCCGCTTGGCTTTCCCCTGACACTGGCCCGCGACCCGGGTGGGCCTTTCCGGGGAAAACCCCCCGGGCTGTTTTGCCCCCTGGCAACTTGGCACCCTCTTCTCCTACATGGGGGGAAGCAATAAACCAAAAGACGACGAGGGTGCCAAGTGCGATCACCTCACAACATCAATTAAAGGGGCTCCCCCCGGGGTCCCCTAAAACCCCCTCGGGTCGGGGTGGGGGTCCCGGAGACCCGACCTGTCTCTAGACCGCTACCGACCACTCCTCCCTCCCGAAATCTTTTCGCCTGCCTGCTTTAAAAAGGCGGATTTCCCCCCCCTTCCTGACCACCCTCTGTTAAACTCTTCCCACTGGGACAGTGGGGCTGAAACCCACAGCATTCGATACTTCGCTTGGGGAGGGAACAAAACCAAAGGAAACCGGGGGAGGGTTTGAGGACCCGGAATATCAAGTGGGCTTTTCTCCCGGGCCCAAAGCCAACAAAAGGTTTGTGTCCCCACCCACCCCCCCGACCGTTGGCTGTAGGTTCAGAGGTGAAAACCCGGGAAAAGGAAACGACCGATTCAACCCAAACGGTTTACGGGAGGGGTTTTTCGGGGGGAAAACCCCACCCGGGTTTTTTGACCCCGGACACTGGGCCTCCTGGGGTGGACTAGTGCGCCGCGAACCCCCCTTCCCCCTTTCTGCCACGTCTGCCGCTCCTGAAAACCTTGCCTTTCCCCTCCACTCCTCTGCATGTTGTTCCCCCCAAACCCCAAAAAATTTTTTAATTATAAAATAACCAAACCCCAAAAATAAAACAGGATTTTT